AGGATCGGAGCTGCCTTGCTTGTTCGGTCCTCCTACAGCCTCAGGAAACACATGGAATAAGAAATAGGTCTATTATAATAGAAGCATCATTGGGCAGCATATTGTGAGGTTTGATGTCCCAAGGACAATTTTGAAATAGAGTCCTCTGTCATAATCTGCAAGACAAATATAGGGAAAAAACCTCTGGTCTTAGGAAATCCAGAGTAATCTCATTGGTTCAAATTGGGCTAAGAGAAGAATGAGTGGCATGAGACCTTCGGGTTAGGGGAAATTCAAATGACCCTTACCTTGAGTATTGACATAATTGTGCAAACTGTAGGGGCAAATGTATTGTTTCAGATCTTGTTCTCTAAATCCATTTCCTAATGCATGTTTGCTCTACTTACTGGTTAACAATCAATATTGGACATTGGTTACGCCTGTAGATAAGCTCCTACCATCCCGTTGTCCCTTCCCAAAAAATGTCTTCTGCCTTTGAACATGAAAGTTCCATTCAGCCATCATGGCTACTTACCACAGATAGACCACACCTCCATTAATTTGTCACATCCACCAAACTGTAATCTAGAAGTTCTATTAAGATCAAATGTTACTTGGAAACATTCCCTGAAAAAATATCATTGCCTAATTGTAGAATTTTAAACACATTTCCAACTTTTTATTTCCAGACCCATTTTAATTCAGATTCAGGTCTGGGTTTGGGACAGCACAGCAACAGCCTTGGTCACCCTGACCAATGACCTTCACAAGGAGACTGACAAGCAGAGTGCATCTTTGTTCATTCTCCTGGATGTGTTGGTGGCTTTTGATACCATTGTCCATGGTATCCTTCTGGAGAGGCTAGCTCAGTTGGGTGTAGGGATACCAGGCTCAATGATTCTGCTTCTGATTGGCTGAACAATTCCAGAATGTGGTCAAGAGTCTTCTGCTTGTGTTGGTATTTGAGAAACTGGTCCACAGTCTCTTTCCACTGATCACATGAAACACAACTGCTTTGCTGGACTCTACATATACTATTAGCTATCTGAATTGTCTATAGTACTCACACCCTTTTCTCACTGTCTCTCCAATATGCTGGTTCAGCTGAATAAACAGGTCAAGCTGACTTTAAAAAACTGTGTGAGCCAAGTAAATGTTTAATGATCTTGGAATGAATTGATTGGTACACAAGGAGCCATTTTTGCAAGAGCTGACTGACATCCCGTGGTGCTATGAAACAAGAAGGGAGAATCTGCCAAGAATTGAGTGAATTGTCTCCCAAATAAGGAGTTAATAATGGGTTTCAAATCAACATCAGCATTGTTGATAATATACTTAACTTTGGCCCTGGTCACATGGAGCATTAGCCATGCTACAGGGACAGAAGATAGGCGGAGTTTCCAGGCGTGATCTTACCGGCACATCTGGGAAGCGTAGTGCTCCCGTGGCTCAACCGAGGCTTCCCTCCGAAGATGTGGTTTAAAAAACTAGTACCTCGGAGGTACTAGTTTCCGGAAACCGTGGGGCAAGGGCGAGTGTCTGATCGCGTTCCCGGAGGTAGTTCCGGCGCCCGCCCATGTCCCCTAGCTAAAAGGTGTGGTTTTTTTCCAAGTCTCCATGGATGCGCACAAGCACCCAACGGAGCATGCACAAACTTTAGTTTAATTAAAAAACACACCTTAGCAGCTCACTAAGACTTGAGTCGTGCAGAGAAGAGGAGAGCAGCCAGAAGAAAGCAACAAAAAGCGCATGGCTTGAGGCGAGACACAAATAGATAGGGGGAAAGGGGGAAAGGCAGAAGATAAAGCAGCTGAGATGAAGCCCAGAAGAGGGGGGGCGCGGCGGTAGAGTAGGAAGTCTGCTTGGGGAAGGGGGGGCACAGCCCAGGAGGGTGGCACCGTGGCCTCGAAGACAGGTGCTGGAGGAGCCAGCGGAGAAGGAGGCGCGGTCAGGGTGGAGGGGGCTGAGCCATGCTGCTTTGCCCTCTTCGTGCGCCCCACCAGCAGGCTCCCCGGACTGTTGCCCTTACAGAACTACTTCCCACCCCCTGCCTGCCTCACTGGTGGGGAAAAAGCCATGCCTGACGTGACGCTGCACCATCCAGTCGGCAGCTGGCCCCTCCTCTCCCCAGCACCACTTGGCCGGCTGTCTCTGGCAGCCCCCTCCTCGCCTTCCCTCAGCGCGTGGCCCCCGCTTCTTTGCCTCGTGGCCCCGCTTCTTTGCCGTGTGATCCGCACCTCCCCCTAACCATGGGACCTCCACAGGAGGGCTGATCGCGCAACCACGCGTTATTTTGCCCCGGGGCAAACAGCCACGCTCCCCCCCGCATTTTCCTGGCCGTGTGACTGGAGCCTGTGTGAACTTGATAAAGAGTGGGGCTAGTGAGCAACGGTAAAACAATCTATCTGAACATCATGAATGGTTAAATAACTGGGCCATATTCATGGTTTGGTAGAGCCATCTAGGATGTTCTATAATGTATTTAAAGTTCATCCCAATTATGAGGCATGTCTTAGGTGGTAGGATGTCAGTATATGCTAAAGATACCCCATGGAAGGGCATAAAATATGAGTCATACTGGAACTGGAGGTTGTATTTTTGTTTGTCATCTGTGTTGTTCTCCCATATCATCTATTTTGAGAGGGTCAAAGATTGTTATTGAAAACCTCCCAGCCCCTATGAACAAACTGCAGAGACTAGCTAAAAATCCAATTAATAACGCCTGGTCACTGTCCCAGACACAGAATGAATATTTGCTCAGGTTAATGGTTAACAACAGACATCAGCCATATAAACATGCTAGGTAAGTGGTTAAGGAAGGAGTATCATCGAACAGGTGAATGTGATACACTTCTTCAGAGGACTCTGTGAGTATGGTACACATTATTCTCCACTCTGATCAACCTATATTCATGTTATTTCCAAAATATTCCATCATGTCTGTATGCTGGCTTTCATGATTAAAAGACAACTAGAGGGACACAGTATGTAACTAAGAACATAAAGAAGAAATTACTGTGTATGTTCCGTTATCACTCCTGTTTATACGAAGAAAGCAAGCATCAATCATGGAGAACCTTTTGCCGACAGTTTCAAAGGGAAGGACGACCTTCGTTCTTAGTCGACTGGCATATTTAAAGAATACACATTGGCTCCATCTTTGGGAAATATTATCCATGATTGATCCTTGCTGCAAGAAAAAACAACTCTGATGAAGATATGCCGCAAACGAGTTTACCTGGGATTTTTGTCAGTTTTGTTCTAAGAGTTTGCTTACAGACAAACAGTTGAGTTCCCTGGCAAGTTGAACTCATCATTATAATTATTGTGGAAGAGGACTTTGGAAATTTTGTAAATGACTTCACACTGTAAATGTGTAAATTTCAGATCCAGTGCCTCTATGCGGACACCTGTAAAGTTATTTCCTTGCTAATTTTCAGGGGTCATTTTGTAGAAAAAGAGGTGCAGGAGCTCATTAGCATAACTCATTAGCATAACGTATTTGCATATGCCACACCCCCTGACATCACCAGAAGTGTGTCAGAAGGCAACACCCACCACTCAGGCTCCACTGGACTGTTTGGGATTGCTAGCTATTGGGGGGGGACGTGCAGATCTGTCCTCACAGAGGAGGGAGAGCTTGTACCTGAAAAACTTGGTCTTGGTCTTAAAGGTGCCACTGGACTGTTTTGGACTGGGGGGCTCTGACTGAGGGCTGCTGGGAGCAGGGGGTAGAGCTTGTTGCATGTGCCCACCCCCTGGGCTCTTTACTGCTGGAGCTCCGCTCATGTGCGCTCCTGCAGGAAATGAGCCCTGCTAATTTTTAATATAATGTAACGACTATTGTTCATACATATTTGGGAATCTGGTTTCTAGAACTCATATTGTAAGACTTCAAGAATACACAAGATAACATTTTTATATAATAAGCAGTAGTTTATTTTCTTGGTATAAACAGGAATGATAACAGCTTTGACGATTAAAGCAAACAACTAGATCCATCTAAATTTAAAACTTTATTTCTTAGACTGATTGGACTTTTTATTATGCATGGATCAAAGTTTGGGATTCAGTATCTCAGAGCAAGGTAGCATAGAAATCTCTTCCACATTGAACACAAAACTTTATTACGAATCTATAGATACTATGAAAATTGCGACAATGTAGAACAAATGAGTGCAATACTAAAATTGTATTTTAATATAATTTAGGGAAGGTAGAAACTGGGGTTTCCTTCTGTTGCACAGAAAGTCCAGAGGATATTCTTATCCCAAAAAGTTATTTCTGTGTTCAAAGAATATGAACTATTTCTTTCATTGAATGTAGATCCGAGTTCCTAAAATTAGCCACACATGGTGTAATTCAGATCCTGTTAAAGACAACAGCAGATTTAAATGAAATCTAAGTTGAGTTCATTGGGCTGACTGAAAAGAATACTGAAGCTGCCTAAAGGCAGATGGTTATGCTCTGCAATTAAGCCTCAGCAGGGGTCAATTCGTAGAAAAGGAGCTAGGGGAACTCATTAGCATAACTCATTAGCATATGCCACACCCCCTGACATCATAAGGCCCAGCGGTGGACCTGCAAGGCCGGTGGGAGTGCGAGGAAGCCCTGCCAAGGCCCTCCCTGGCCCCAGGCAGGCAGGGGTGGGAAGAGGTGGGGAGGAAGCAACTTACCCTCCCTCTTCTCCTGCCTCCTCCTGGCTGAATGAGGGCTGGAAGCAGGGCGGCCGGAAGCAGGGTGTGTGGCTTCATTGTGTGCCCCCCCTCACCCGGGGGAACTGCGATCCCCCGCGATCCCCCCCAAATGACCTCTGACCAGCATTACTGTAAAATATTATTCTGTTAAGCTTTGCAGTATTTATAACATTCTTTATTTTTCTGAGCATTTCAAGCACAAACTTTGATACTTAGAATGTTTTGATAATTTAAAAAATAAAACCCTAAGAAAAACATTTCAGATGTTTTCTAACCTGAAATTTCTTTGTAAATTTATTCATTGTCAAGCCACTAACAATTCCAATGAAGTTCACCCTCTGCCTCTCCTTACTACTAACTGGTCTTCTTCAAGTCCATTGTCATCACATCCCAGGACATCATGAGGAAGAGGAGCACAATGGAGATCAAAACCCACCAGAAGCTCAGCCACAGCCTCCATCAGAAGGGCGGGGAACTGAAACAACCGGCTATCAAAAGATAGCCCGGATAAATAATAACTTTGCATTGAGATTGTATAAACTCATCGCTTCAGATCCAGCTCATCAAAATATTTTCTTCTCCCCAATGAGTATCTCCACAGCCCTTGCCCTGCTGGCTCTGGGCGCTAAAGCTGAGACCCATCATCAGATTTTCAATGGACTCGGTTTCAACCTCTCAGACCCTGAGGAGAATGAGATCCACGGAGCATTTAAGCTAATCGTCCACACGCTTAACCAACCCGATAACATAACACAGGTGAACATGGGGAATGCTTTGTTCATAGAGGAATCAATGCCACTGCTGCCTAAATTTCAGAATGATGTCCAGACCTTGTACGAAGCTGAAGGCTTTCCAATGAACTTCAAGAACTCTGCGGCAGCAGAAGATGAGATCAATGATTACGTAAAGAACAAAACGAATGGGAAAATCACCCAAGCAGTCGAGGGACTAGATAAGGATACTCTAATGGTCCTTGTAAACTATATATTCTTCAAAGGTAAATATTGGTAATTATTAATAAATATTGATGACGGAAGGAGAGACAAGAACTGTCCATATGCCAAGTAAATAAGGAGACTGATGGTTGCAAGAAAACTATGAATGCAGAGTGTAAAGGGGAGTGGTGGTCTCGGTGCTCACTTTGGAGCCAAATAAGGCAGAATGAAACTGGGACCTGTTATGGCATCCTAAATCTCCATGTTTTTATCTGGAGCAGATGGCGGCTGGCTGCAGAGTATAAAGTTTTTTTAGTTTTAGCTTTATCTTTGGCCAAAGCCAGCAATTAACATTTAAAACATAACAAAATTAGTAGATAGTAAGAACCCCTGTAAATAAAGGTAAAAGAAGCTTAAAACAACAATAAAATGCATTTTAAATTAACTGGACAGTTAACAGTAAGGTGATTGACATTTAACTTGCTGCGTCATTATAGATTTTGACATTTAACTTGTTGCGTCATTATAAATTTTCTAATTCTTAAAGCTAGCCATCCAAATCTAGGCACTAGATATGTTTCTTCTGAGTGCCTATCCACAAGGAGATTTTTCATAATATGAACTCTTTGCCTACTAGTAAGAGGTAAGGACTTGGGGAGTGGAAGTGATTTATGGAGATTATTATAGGCCTTACAGTAAAAAATGATATGTTCTAAATTTTCAATGCTTTCATTACAGCAGGGGCATATATGTTCCTCAAATGGCATTTTCTTATACTTTCACTCTGTAATGACTACAGGAAGAATGTCCCAGTGCGTAAGAGTAAAAGTTCTCCTGTATTTGTGGTTTGACAGATGGTGAAGATAGGCCATAGAATTTATTCTGTTAATGGGGTTCAGAAGTGTATTCCATTTCTTTGTTCTACCAATATTGTTCTGCCTATCAATATCCATAATCCTTTGTTTTATCAATTCTCTAACTTTGTCATAGGCAAAGAACATAGGCCTTAAGCCAGTTGGGGTATAAAGGAGTCTTGAAAAATGTGTCAACCCGTTGGATAGAAAAACTAATTTCAGCCAATAATGAATTGCCATGATCCATAACCTTGCCTCCACAGTAATCATTCTGGTTTCAATTAGAATAAGTGCATTTGGAATGCCATTAGTTACCTGTAGAACAGATCTCAACAATTTTGATTGCACTGTGTTCAGTTTCTTGTAGTTAGATGCAATATTGTTGGGGGCTCTAAAGGTACGTTGATTGAGAGATTTGGCCTTAAATAGTCTAAGGGCAGCTACAAGACATTTGCCCCCTTTGTACCAGTAAAATTTTTGAATTGCCCCCGTGCTCCTTTTGGCATTTATGGCAACAGAATTTATATTTACAGTTCTTGAACAATTCACCTGGAAGTTAACACCCAGATATTTAAAACAGGTGACTTGTTCAATGGGAACAGAGTTTAAGTGCTAATGGAAAGTTTTGGGGAACCTTTTAGTAAAGGCCATTACTTTAGTTTTTGAATAGTTAACCTCTAAGTTGTTATTCTGGCAATATTGGACAAAAGAACTCATGGCTCTCCTGAGACCTATGGGTGTCCTTTCAGGTAGGATGGCATCATCTGTGTATAAGAGCACATCTATGCATCTGTTGACTAGCTTTGCGGTATGAAACTCAGGCTGATAGGATACAAACCTTGTCTTTTGGACTGAAAGCTGGACATGAGAGTTCCTGGGCTCTTGCATTTAGTGTCCTCTTGCAATGAAGCATATAGCTATCTTGCAATAATGTGCATATATGAGGATCAGCATTTATCCTATTCTGTGTACCTATTGTTTTTCTCCTTAGCTTGCTGGGAAAAGCCTTTTGACCATGTATTGACCAAGGAAGCAGATTTCTTTGTTGATGCAAACACAACAGTGAAGGTCAACATGATGTACCGAGAAGGTTATTATGGTTTTCTCTATGATGAAGACCTGTCTTGTTGGGTGGTGAGAGTGCCTTACAAGGGAGATTACTCAGCATGGTTTATTCTGCCGGATCAAGGAAAACTGAAGGGTGTGGAGGATGCTTTGACAAGAGAGATTTTTATAAAATGGAGATCGTCTTTGAAAAATGAGTAAGTTTTCACTTTGTGTTATTTTTATAATGGCTGCTGCACTATTAACACATCAATACAGGATAAGTAAAAGCATTCATTTTAAATCCACACTAGATCCTTCACTTTTTTTAAAAATACAACCCATGATAATAAAAACAGCATTAAACAATCACTGAGCTGCTGAAAAATATCCATAAAACAGTCCTAAGGCTAGAAGAAAAAACTAAAGAGAGCTAGAAAGATAAAACCTTTTGGTTAAAAGCCTAATTAAAAAGTAAGGTTTTGGCCTGCCCCCTAAAAGAGAGTTCTGTTAACTTCCAAAGCATTTAATTTTTTAAACCAAAAATCACAATGACCAACCATCTAAACTGTGTTGCATTGAACGAATTACATCCTTAGCACATAGAAATTCTGGCTTCCATATTTTGTCATATTCAAATAAAGGAACAACCTTACATAAATCCCCCCCAAAATGGATTATGGATAATCCTACCCATCAAAAACTGTTACCAGATTTTCTGGTACCATTTTTGGAGCAAAGGTCCTGTGAGGGATTTCCAATTCCTGGCAATGACCAAGTGAGTAGGAGCAACCAATGTAGAGACAAGAAATTTGGTATTTTTATTAAGCAAAAAGTCATCCCAAAAATCCAATAACAAAAATTCTGGAGAATAAGGCAATGAAAGACCCACCATGTTGGACATCTCTTTATGAACCACCTTCCAAAAGTCCTGGATCCGATGGCATACCCACCACATATGTAAA